TTGCATGGACAAGTGTCCTGTTGTTTTACTATCTTTATTTATATTTAATTATGATTATTTGTAGATATGTATATAACTAGCATAATTATGAATACATGTTATGCATAATAAGTCAGGTCAACAAGTGGAAATGACTGTTACTAATATATGGTTTTAGGCAATCTGATGATAGCTTATGCCTCCTATCTGACTCATCATTTTAAATGTAACCTTCCTAACTTTCAAATCGTTATTGTGTTTTTGTAGCTTGCTCGTTTATCTCCTTTGTCGTGATCGGTATTGCCAAATCGTACGGCATCTTCTTCATAGAGTTCCTGCGGACCTTCAAATCGTCTGTGTCAGCAACTACACTCATCACGACACTACAAACCATCGCTTACTGCAGTGCATGTAAGTCTGCATACGACACTACTAANACTGCAAATCAAATCATGTAAGTCTGCACACGACACTGCAAAATATCGCTTACTGCACAGCATGTAAGTCTGAAAACGACACTACAAACTGCTAGCTTAATCTCTGGTGAGGTTAGTGCATATGTAGTTACCTCCCCTTGTTCACAAGGTGTCATGAACCTGAATAATTTGGTAATATTCCTGGTCCCTGTTTATAACGTACCCTGTTAGTGTATCCTGATGTGGATGACTTGTTACTCTTACGTTGTTCTCCCTGTCCAACGTCTTTGCCTGTTTCCAGGTCTGTTACCATTAATTCTCTTTATGAACCGTTATGGCACTCCTTCAGATGTCCATTAAATCTTGTTCTAAACTTTCTTCCTATTTCCCCTTTGAACAAAGAATTGCAATTCTCACAGCTAATCCTGAACACACAATAACATGTGTCACTGATGGAAAAATTCTTTTGAATGCACAATAATGTTCCTGATGGTCTGGAGTACTAGTGGTCTCATGCTGGTCGACATCCTGTGCTTTCTGAATATCCTTTGAATGGGCCCTGATATTTCTTTCACGTACGTTATCATTAAGTTTTCACTGGTCTATTCCTCTGTTATTTCTTTATATTCAGCTGCGCATTTTTTTTGTTCTTGATAATAATGTCTTGATACTCCATTTTGGATATCCATATTTCTTGAACCGTGATATTTCCTGACGAGATACGCTGCCCCTACAAGATCTTATCCTCTAGGGGACTTGCCTGCTCAGCCAGCTTCACTACGACACATTGATTACGATTGCGATGAACAGGGGGAAACAACTCCCAATATACTTCTTTTTTCAATAGTCTGCATGCCATCTTTTGTGTATTGTTGTAATTGAACTAACCAAGATGACAGCATGGCAGAAAAACTATCTGGATGAGAACTTGGTTTAGACATAGCAGTGATCAAATGAATAGCAGATAATTTCGAAGATGGATGGACTCTATGATCTACTGATGCCGTTGCAGGCACTACCTCATTTCTGATCGGCCTTACGCACAAAGGTAGATCCTACTACTTAAATACGAGAGCATCATAGAGGGAGAGAGTGATGTGTGATTTAGTTGTTGAGGTGGCATGCCAATGCCAATCTTTCCGAAGAGTAAGTGGCGTGAATCCTTTATATAGTACAAAGGTCAGGGAAATCGTATGATACCTCATAGTCCCCATTTACCTTGAAACACAGTATAATCATTTAATGATCATAAAACTAGACGTTGTCTTTTGTCATTAATAATTATGAATATGGCAAACAGTTGGGAGGAAACTTAACTAAGGTATCTTGTGCACGTTGTAGTGCACACGCAGTGAAAAGGAAGTGCACTAGACAAACAATTCAAGTGCACTCCAGTTCACTTCAGTGTTAACTCCAGTGCATATCGATGTGAACTCCAGTTCACTTTAATGTTAACTACAGTGCATATCGATGTGAACTCCAGTTCACTTTAGTGTTAACTTCAAAGCCCAAGCTAGTGAACTGGAGTTTAACTTTTCTTGTTAACACAAGTGAACAAGGCTACCAAGTTAAGTTTGCTCCCAACTGTTAACAATGATTACACCATTTCGTTTTGTTGAGTAGTATCTTTTGTTTCCACAGCCGTGCCGATCCTTTCTCTGTGATTTTGTTGGGTAATATCTTGTTTATGTTTGTTTCCACAGCCGTGCCCATCCTTTCTCTGTGATTTTGTTGGGTAATATCTTGTTTATGTTTGTTTCCACAGCCGTGCCCATCCTTTCTCTGTGATTTTGTTGGGTAATATCTTGTTTATGTTTGTTTCCACAGCCGTGCCGATCCTTTCTCTGTGATTTTGTTGGGTAATATCTTGTTTATGTTTGTTTCCACAGCCGTGCCGATCCTTTCTCTGTGATTTTGTTGGGTAATATCTTGTTTATGTTTGTTTCCACAGCCGTGCCGATCCTTTCTCTGTGATTTTGTTGGGTAATATCTTGTTTATGTTTGTTTCCACAGCCGTGCCGATCCTTTCTCTGTGATTTTGTTGGGTAATATCTTGTTTATGTTTGTTTCCACAGCCGTGCCGATCCTTTCTCTGTGATTTTGTTGGGTAATATCTTGTATATGTTTGTTTCCACAGCCGTGCCGATCCTTTCTCTGTGATTTTGTTGGGTAATATCTTGTTTATGTTTGTTTCCACAGCCGTGCCGATCCTTTCTCTGTGATTTTGTTGGGTAATATCTTGTATATGTTTGTTTCCACAGCCGTGCCGATCCTTTCTCTGTGATTTTGTTGGGTAATATCTTGTTTATGTTTGTTTCCACAGCCGTGCCGATCCTTTCTCTGTGATTTTGTTGGGTAATATCTTGTATATGTTTGTTTCCACAGCCGTGCCGATCCTTTCTCTGTGATTTTGTTGGGTAATATCTTGTATATGTTTGTTTCCACAGCCGTGCCGATCCTTTCTCTGTGATTTTGTTGGGTAATATCTTGTTTATGTTTGTTTCCACAGCCGTGCCGATCCTTTCTCTGTGATTTTGTTGAGTAGTATCTTTTGTTTCCACAGCCGTGCCGATCCTTTCCATTTACATCAAGCGATACAACACTCGCAACCTTGCAATATTGGGGACGTTTGGATGTGCGTTGAGTTACGGCTTGAGCAGCCTAGCGGACAGCATCAGCTTTCTCTACTTCTCACAAAGCCTACTATTTGGTACGTACTAGCTGCCTTGAATTTACCCAATTACGGTCAGTCTAACAGGCAGTGTTGCCTTTCATTACTTCTCACTAAGCCTAAACTGAAAGCAATTAAATAGTATATGTCTACTGTTAAGAAAGAGTTTAAGATAATCGAAAAGATCGAAAAAATCAAGAGTAAATCAAATAAAATGTTTCTTATATCATAATCCATCTTTAAGAACTTTGTTAGTGTTTCCTGTTGAACTGAATGCCATGATATAGTATATGTTTACTGTTAAGAAAGACCAAAAGACTGTCGAAATTTTTTATGATTTTGGAAAATAACGAATAGATTAAGCTTAAATTCCATAAAATACTGATAATTAAATTTAGCCATCGTGTTGACGTCATGACAGCCATTACAGGTTTTTATATATCAGCGTTATAATATGCAATATATGATTTAATGTATAAATTCTATTCTCGGTTTTAATTTGACGTCGAAATACCAGTAACGAAATTTTTGACACCCTGTCTGACAAATCGGAACACTATCGAGTAACTGCACACATTTTTATAGGAATGAGGGACGATGTTAACTATTGTGTTGGTTGTATGATAATCGGTTTAATTAATTTCTCTTTCAAGGCGCCATGAGTGCATGCGTCCTTGGTCCAAATCTCGTAATTCTGGGGCAATATTTCAAGAAAAGAAGGGGCTTTGCGATGGGGATTGCTCTGAGTGGGAATGCTTTGGGTGGATTCCTACTGCCCTACCTGTTTCGGTACTTATTTGATGAGTACGGTCTTAGAGGGGCGTTACTTCTGACGGCCGGACTGTCTCTTCACTGCGTGGCAGCAGCCTGTCTACTCAGACCAATTGACTTCTACAGCAAAAGGAAGACTTGCAATCCAAAGAAAGATTTAGCAAGTGAAAATGGCTGTCCGGAACAGAAGGAAAAGCTTCTCGGTGACAAAAAGTTTCACACATTTGAAATGGATGACAGAGCGAACAAATCAACGTCACACCCGGTCTTGCCAACGGGAGATACTACTACAGCCAAAGCCCAGTACCGTATCCGGAGTATCTCCTATAGTCCTGGTCACGTGCAGGCTGCTTCAAAACCTGCAGGGTCAACTTCCGTCCTCTCACTTTCAAGTTTTACGCGGTATTTTAGCACCGGTGATATTGTTGCACTTTCCCTGCAAGATATCGACGTGATGCGAATGAATTCTGAACATGAAGAACCAAAAGACGAAAATAAGAAACCAGTTCAATGTTTTTCGAAAATATGCCAATATTTAACCGATCGCCAGATTTTCAACTGTAACATTTTTCGGAATAAGTATTTCTTAGCTTTCCTTCCTGCCTATTCCTTAGGTAGCTTGGCACCTGCATTCACTCATATATTCGTGCCAGCCTACGCACGCGACATCGGGATCAGTGATCAGAACGTGGCCACCATAGCTTCGATCATCAGCCTGTCCGACTTCTGCGGTAGGATTGTTGTTGGGTTTCTGGCCGACCTCCCGAGGATACGAAAGCCCTATTTGGTTGTGGCTTCACAAACTATCATAGGAATTATGATGACACTTTCTTCGTTCTTCAACAACTTTTACCTTCTGGTCGCGTTTGCAATTATATACGGCTTGGTTGGAGGTACTCTGTTTACCCTCTTCTCACCGATCTTGATAGAGATGATTGGTATAAAAGACTTCCCCAACGGAATGCTTGTCATTCTAGTTATGCAAGGCATTTGGATTGGCGGCAACGCATCATTCCTGGGTAAGTCTGGGTTATAGTTTAGCAGTGGTGATTGATAGAACCCTTCTCCACTTTGAGGATAAGAGAGTAAAGCATCCCCGTACCACTGCCAAAAATATAATAACGCATTGGAAAATGATTTTTTTTTTACGGTTAGACTTTAGCTTTGATAAATCATTTCTGGAAAGAAAACCATACCTTGCGGGGCTATTAAAGACAAATATTAATAATTGAATAAACAACGTTCTGAGTGTGAAATTTAAGCATGGCTAGAGTGGGGTTCAAACTCCGGACTTCAAATTGTTATACGCCCGAAATAACCGACTGAGCTTCCTAGTTAACGGATGTGTTCAGGCCAAACATTGCATCACATTATCTTAACCGTATTAATGGGAGGTAACTATCTATACTAAAAAACACAATGTAGTGGAACAGGTCTCCTTAACCAGAATCCATGACGTCAGATAATTTCATGTCGAAACCAACTTACCAACGGGCAGACATTCAAGAATATTACCCCGAGGGTTGGGACAACTTAATATGTTGTTTTTCTCAACACAATCGTGTACGTTTGGCATTCGTCAGAATCTGATTTCGAACAATTCTTAAGAAATATACTGGTATGTACATATGCCCACATATAACTGCTTCAGTCTCAGTTTCATACACAAGGGACTTAGAGACAAAACATTTCATGGCTAAAACAGAAAGGGTGGAGAATAAAACATTATTCAAACCAAGATCAAAAGACTGACATATCATATAAGAGTAATAACAGTATCGCTTCATCCCGTATTACTGAATAATTCCCGAAGCAATATATGTAACTTTGTTTCTGTATGGAATGTCGGCGATCAATATGAAGGTTTTGCTTATGTAGGTGATCACATTTCTTCTTTCCAGGCTATTTACGGGATCTGACCGGTTCATACGTCGTCACGCTACAGTTCATGGGAGCTTCCTCATTTACGGCAGCGCTCTTCTTCTTCACGATAGAGATCGTCCGGATATTGACTACGACTAGGAGTAAGATGGATGCTGTTTGAAGACATATATCGCATTAAGCATTAACTCATTCACCCCTGAAGACATAGTTGAACTCTTCCAATTCAAAGGTTGGAATAGTTCATTATGAAAGGAGATTTCCAGCACGCCTTTTGGCGCAGCCATCTTGTGAACTGAACTGTGTCATTAGTGTACCGTTTAAATGCTTTAGGTCTGTTTTTATTAAAAGAGGTTGGATTAACGAATGGTTACGAACGATAGTGACTTTATGTGAATAATGAAGTATCATTGTTGTTAATGTTACATGTGTTTAAATAAAAGTGTAGATACTTGTATATTTCGGTGAAACTGGTACTACGTTGCAATCAACGAGTCTTGACCCTTTTTTCTTATGGGAATCCGTCTCATCAGGCGTTGCCCTATTGGTGTGGTGGAATGTAGACATCTATTGTTGAAAATATCATTTGAAGTTGTGATTTTATGAGGTAAGGTTGATTTTAGGCTAGTTTAAGTTACAACGTTACATTTTTCCCATACCTCAGATTTTAAGAATTTATATAAGGAATATGAAACAGCAAATCTTACAACAGGTTACTGAGAGGAACGGGAACTTCTTGGCGTTGATTTACATTTTTACGGGACATTTCTTGATATATTAACGTCACGTGCATTAGGTGTTTACCGTTTGAACATAACAACATCAAGGACATCTGACAACATTTCACTGCCACATGTTTGTTTACACAGATCAGATTCATTTGTTTTTGAGGATTTATTTTGCTTTGAAATCCCTTTAATAAACTTAATTTGTTTTAGTTTTTTCAACTTATATTAATCGATCTTGTTTGCCCGGATGTTGGCGCGTGGGGGTCTTAGTGTCGGGGAAGCCGGAGTACCTGGAGAAAACCCATGTGATCGGGCAGGTGACCCCAAACCTTTTCACGTCTGATCGGGGAATCGAACTCCGCTCGCCTTGGTGAAAGGCAATTGGATAAAGTTAACCAAGTTAACCAGGTCCTGAACTGTAGAATTTATGACGGGATTTGAAAGCTACTGTAAATATTTGTATTGTAGCATTCAAGTCAGGAAGAAACGGTTACCGTTAAGGTGTGTAAAATTACCATAGGCTTCATATCTTTATTAAGCTACTTTGAAATACCGTATATTTTTATTGTAGCTTGTCAAATAGCAGGTAGAGTTTTTCAGAAAGCTATGCTCTCTATGGTAAAATGGCATAGGAAAGAAAACAAAACAAAACCAAAATGAAAAGCTTCTAAATACATCTTAGACGGTATCTTTTCATTCTAAACTCGGTTACATCTTTCTGTTGGGATCGATCTAATTAAAGTATCTTCTGTCTGTGTACTTGCTTGTTTTATAAGTAAAAAAGTAGTGTATCCTTCAGTGTGTGATTTGATGGTGATGATTCCAACATGAACACTTTTCCTGCTTTCTTTGGTGTTTTTTTAGGGTCCTTCTAACTGTTTTATTATTTCTAAATCTTTTTTCTTGTTTGAAACATAAAATACAGAAAATATTTTGTACCTAAATAGTTCATTGGCGGTTCGTTTGTTGGGGTCTATCTCAACCGATTGATGGTGTCGTTTATATGTCAAAATCGGAAGTCACACGAAAAGTGGATGTTTTGAGATCTCGTATAATAAAAGTTTACAGTATTTGATAAGTTATATAGTTTTCACTCCACTATTTTGCTTACTGTGTTATGATAATACTCACTGGCTTCAAAAATTCTTACCAGTCACCAAATGGTCAGCTATATATCGTCAGGGTTGTTGTTCTGGTGACAGCGATTTGTTTAGTTTTACAGGTACGTTGTAGATAGTATGAAATCCTTTATGTTCATTTCTAACTCGCTTGACTACATGGCATATCCCACATTATGGACGCTTTGCATCATTACATCCAAATGAAGTGTTGATCAGCTTACAAATACAGCAATATTACCTATATCAATATGCAGCAGCCATTCAGAACATACCAATTCTCAATAGCAACGTTCACGCTTTTTTTTACATATTCTTCGGTGAAGTCTTTATCGCGAAAATGTTGTTGTATTGGGTTTAACGTCCAATTAACAGCTTCCATGTGCCTCCATGTGTTTGTATGCGTGCATGTGTGTATGTGTGCAGGAGGCAGAGTATGTTGGTGTATTTGTCTCCTTGCGATAGCGCGGATCTGATGCCGCCAACATTATAGCGCTGCCTCACTGAAATACCATGCCGAAGGCATCAAGCACAGCATTCCGCCCGGTCACATTGTACTGACAACGGGTGAAACAGTTGTTGTCATTATTCTAAATGCTTAACGTTATACTGGAAATACAAACTACCATTTTTAAAGACTTTGATATGTCTCGGCATTGGGACAGGATCCATTACAAACTCCACTTTGGCGAAAGCTCATAACTAAGGCCAAAGGTGAGGTATTGCCAAGCAAGGCGCTAGGAAACGAAATGAGAGAAATACAAAGATACAAAAATATTGCAATGGGTACAGCACATTTATTTGGGTCACTTTTATGTCCACAGCAGAGGGCACAAACGCAAATCCGCATTCAGCATGGGCTTCCCACATTAGTTTTACGATCATGCAGTGGGTAACAGCAGGTGTATTCTTTTCTCAATACCCTACCAGCAGGATTGCTATGCGAGAATGTTGCATCGACTATACATAAATTTGACGTAATTAATTGACATTTATGTTAACGTCACAATAACAACTACATGTATGTGTTTACAGAGACCAGAGAGGCAAAGGAATGTTATCATTTATTTATTTGTTTATATAAAACAAGTCGACATCATAATAACAGTTATGTATTTTTTTTCCCAACTTCTCTGCGGTATGAAACTTTTGTCCAGTGTTTAAATCATAGTGAACTTCCTTTGGTGCGCAGATTGTTAGAGATCAAAAATGTATTCACTTCATAAACAAACACGAGATTTCGTCAGCAAGCATTCCCCGTCTTCTCGGGTTCTACACATTCCTGTTACGGCCTGTGAAAGAACATACATATTAACACAAATGTAAATAAAACATAAAACATAAACAGAATTTTCCTCGGAAAGAGTATTAAAATGTTAGATTCATGTTTATTTATTTTAAGCTATTTTACCCATCAGCATTTTTTTTTTTCATTTATCAATTAAAACAATTCCGTTGTTCTATACCCAATTTTCATTCACTTTTTTTCGAAATCATTTCGAAAAGAACTAGTGGTAAGGAAATATAGAAATATCACGTTTTCCGTAAAAATAAGCGTCTGATGTTGTGCATTTACTTCATATATCTAATTCAATATTAAAGACTCATTTTTACTAGTACTTGATTATCGTTCTTTACTCACATTTGCGTCTCCATATGAAAAATCCGATTCCAATGGCTAACACGACAAAACCAACAACGGGTCCAATGATTACACTGAAATATAACGACACAAGTATAACAAACCTGCAAACTAACGTAATTGTTTAGAGTAACTTTGCCCTCTAACAGTACATCGCCAAAGTAGATCTTTTTATGGCAACGTTACCCGTAAAAACGTATTCAAATCCAATTCTTGTGCCTGGACGCTTTCTAGGTAAGTTTTTAGGTTGACACGTCCTTCACGTTAGTGTTAATCTTAACAACTCTACCTTCTTTAAAACTTGATTTATTTTACCACAATTATGAAACAATCGAACCCCGGTCGCCTTGGTGAAAAGACAAGTGCGCTATCCACTGCACCACCCGACCACCTTTAACTCTTACCTCCGAACGTCCGGGGACGAACTACTGAAACATGTATGCATGGATGTACCAGTTATATTTTCACCCTTACTTTTACACAGGGATGTGTCACATGCTATAAAATTGAAGACATATTTATATATAAGTTGGCATCACAGTACGTATGAAGTTACTGTGACGCCAACATACAGATATCTTTAGTTTTATAGCATCTGAGTATATGTCCTCCCTGTGAACTGAACCAAGAACCTGAGCCGGTTCTCTATCAAAGTGATGTCATTTTCAACCTGTAACTAATGCATGAACCTGCACTAGTTCTCTATTAAACTAATGTATGAACCTTAACTAGTTATCTATCAAAGAGTCACATAAATGTGGACAGGGCGTTTCTAAGTTGAATTAACTTGTGTCTAATCCTTTTTGTTGAATGACAAATAAGATATGTTTAAATGATGTATGAACCTTAAACACTAGTTCTCTATAAAAGTAAAAATAAGTTTTACCCGTAACTAATGCATGAGCCTTCGCCTGAACAAATGTAGCCATTTTCACAGCAGTATATTGTCCCTTTACAGCAGTGGTATCCGGCCAGCAGACAGTCAGAATCGGATGTGCACTCAAACTGGCCTAGGAAAGAAATTATACAAATAAAATCGATACTGATACACCAATAACAGGAAATATCGTGGATTTTTGCACGAGTATTATTATGTCACATCAATATAACAAAAACAACAAAGTCAACAAGTCTCCCCGGATGAAAACCGTCCATCCTCAACTGGTGGTTTTAGCCGGTTCCGGAAGGTCCTTCTGTTTGTGAATCGGCACTGGTGATCTATTCAGCACCGGTCAATGGAGGGCTTTTAGTGATGAAAATAACACTCACAGGTGATGACTACACCCTTAAGAAAAGGAAATACGCCGCATCATACAGCTGTTTCGTCCTTCCTCATTGGTGATACAAGGGGCAAAAAATAATTATTTTCTCACAATTCCCTGTGTGTAAGATAGAGCTGTCCAGGGTAAGAAAGGGGTGTAGGAAATTTCTTTCTCCCATCCTTCACAGGTTTGTCTCCCGATTCAGCCGGGACAAATCAGCTTGTCACCCCCTAGGGGGAGATAGCCTCGTGCCGTTAAGCACATGTTCAATTGTGACGTCATTAAAATGCGTCATCGGTAATTGTGGTGTCATCAAAAGTGAATGACGATATCCATACCCCACATTTGTTTTTGTTTACACTACCGTCGGTGGAGTTGGGACTGAATAGGATGGGAGAAAAACAATCATCTCCTACCTTGAGGGTGGGACAGAGAAATCTCCAACCCTCGGGGTGATGTTTTTGGTTGCCTAACCCTCGGCAGAGCCTCGGTTTAGAAAACAAAAAAACATCACCCCCTCGGGTTGGAGATTTCTCTATCACACCCTCAAGGTAGGGGAAGATTCTATTAATCTTACACCCTTTTTCACGTGACGTGACGTCACAATGGCTCAACAATGACATGACGTCACGAATTTGGAACTCTCCGATGCCGCAATGCGGAAAAGGCGATGTGATGAAATTAAAACCTTCTACAATATATTTACCGTACACGTTAGAAAGATGTGATTAATTTTCCTGTGCAAACATTGCAAATATGGGATATGCTTAATCTGGCTGGCTGATTCGTTTTCCTCTAAAATGGATATTTTCAAAATGGTGGCCAATCCAAACGCATTTTCATGGTTTCTTGGGTTATTCTGATGGTTGGAATGAGAGAAAAATACTCTTTCATGCCCAAGGGTGTAGGAAAGGGATTTTCAAATTTGACAAAACCCTCGGCAGAGCTTCGGGTTTTACCAAACTTTAAAACCCCTTGGGTGTAATGTCCCTATCCTACACCCCTTGGCATGAAAGAGTCTTATAGTCTTTACTATTGCTGACACAGAGCGACATGTGCCCATTAAGTAATTCATTAAATTATTGAGAGGAGTACTGGTTGATTTCAAATTAAATAATCTGAAAAGTGACCAGTGGCCAGTAAAGTAAACACAGGTGACAGCACATTTAAAAAATGTTCATATATACAGCATGCCTAATACAAATTACACTGCATCATACAGCATATACTGTATATCTACTGCAATAAGCTTGCACATAAGATGCAGCAATGGATAAACACCCAGTAACAACTTAGAGGTTCCATCTTAGCGGTTAAAACATTTGACTAAAAGGTGTTTCATAATAGTACTTTATAATTGTCCTAACTACTTGTTTCAATGTGCAATGTGTCATATTGTACTGCAGTACACAACATGTTAGAAATCAGAAAGGTAAACGAAAAGATTAATAAAAAATACATCGACAGAAATACATGTACTATTGCTTCACAGCAAGCCTAATACATGCATTTTATAAGATAAATTAGCTTTAACATAATTAATCCATGTCAATTATTAATATTAGTTCAATGGGTTTTTTAATGCAAACTTGTTCAAGGGGTTCATTGGATATGAGTCTTTCCAGCTTTCCCACTGCACTGTGTTTTTCTTCTTCTATATACAGTAACCTTCACTAAACGTCCTTTTGGATAAAACTCTAGCACAGTCGGGCAGACAGGTAGCTCAATCTGAAGTCCGGGGTTAGAGTCCCGGTCTAGCCCACTGAATAGTCACACTCAAAATCTTTTGATGATTATGTTTTGTTTATTTCATCTTTATGATTCCCTTAAAAGGCCCGTACGGTATGGTTTCCTTTTCAGAAATGATTTATCAAAGCTATTCCGTCTTTGCGTATTGCAGAGTTATCTTCTCTTGGGAGCAGGTATTGATTGTTACGTCANGAGAAAATTACGTCGTTTTCTCAAAAATTGATGACGTTACTCTCACAAACAAATGACGTAACAATCAATACCTGCTCCCAAGAGAAGATAACTCTGCAATACGCAAAGACGGAATAGTCGTGCAAGAAAATAAAACGTTTCAAGCACTTATCTAAAGTTCTGGCAGAGGTACGGTGGTCCTTAAAGCAGTTTTCATATTACATGTGTTTTTCGTCACATTGGTCATCATCCTAACTTATTTTAACCGATTCACTAGCATTGTATTGATCAGATTGAACTGATGACATCCCCTGACTCAGCAGTAGGGTTGTTTGTATACATACAGTATCAGTTTCAGATACAAGATTAAGGGCAGATCTTTGAGTAAACTAAACATTGTGAGGACGAAGATTAGATCACTGGGGCCTTCATAACCTGCACGAGAAACAAGCTGTGTCCTGTACGAATTATTTTGGTTCTGTTCAAACACCTCTTTCAAGCAACACACCATGGTTCTATTAAATCATATGCCTTTGTTAAGTCTAAAATTATATTTTTGTACTTCGATCTTCTTGTAGGAGTTGACAATTTGATAAAATACAATTTCATATGAGTGATTCCGACAGTCAGATAAATATTAGATATTTGTGTTCAATACTGTGAGCGTGTTTCTCTGTAATTGTTGAAACCCCTGGTAAAACAGAAATCGGTCTGTAAGGTATTCCAACAGTAGTGCAACCACTTTTGTGAAGCGGAGGAAACTCTTGTACACTTCCACTACTCTTTCATCACTGTAGACCATAACGGACTCATCCAGATTAATGCATGGTAGAGTCTACTAAAGTTACATAGGGGTGAAAGTGTTAAGTGCGTGATAGACGTTATCCTCGAAATTCTAGTGGTTACGCTGATTGACATTCTTTGCACCCCTGGATTATATCTTGACGAAATCGAAGGATCTGTACGCACCCCCATAATATTGTAGATGATACAAAATGTCTAGATTAATAGTTTGATGTACAACAAAAGAATCGCGCGCACCGAAACGGTAAAAATGACTGACTTTGAAGTCAGATGGAGCGCCTTTGTAAACTTCAAACATCAACTTTCAACATACTAACATCAGTACAATAATGCAATAGTTAGAATGCGCGATGAGAAGCGATGACCAAGATGAAATGGATGAGATTGTTATAAGAATGAGATTGATGAACACTCCCCCCCCCTCCCCCTCCCCATAAAAACACAAAGAAATAAAAAGAAATCGAAGTGTTTACAAAATCGAAATTTGAATTATCAAAATCCACAAATATAGGGCAAAATATGAACAAAGAAAATTTTTTACATGTGGAGACCCCTTAAAAGGTATGAAAAGTAAGAGTCTGTACTGCTTTATCGGTGATATTTCAATTTTGCTGTATTCGTTTTTGTGTGATTCCGAATGACATGATGAACAAAGATGGATTGACTATTACCACACTCATTTAGAAAATATAACACGGTAAATATTTATTTAGTTGTGATTTTAAAAGTACATGAAACAATCAAATATATCAATATTTCGACGAAAAAATGAGAATGAGATGATAATAATATAAGTTAATGAGAATGCGATGACAACACAACGGTGACGATGACTATAATGCGATGAACATGAGATTACAAAATTCTATAACCCATGTATCAACGGTATTAAGATGTTATCTTATTGATAGCATCATCAAACATGTGTATCCAAATATGGAACGAGACGAAGTCACGTGATACAGATTTAGGTCTGAAGCCTAATTTTACCGACTGAGGTGGTTGTGAGTGTGAGTGGTTGACCGTAATATACAGTGGCAGCATTGCCCTTTTTGGGAGAAACGGTATTTCCTTTTCCCGAGCTTAAGGTATATTCATATCTTTGACATTTATGTCCTGTATGCTGTGTATTCTGGGTATGATGTCATGTAGCTTGGTACTATTTTTTCACAGATAGTCCGTATGGCCAAAAGCAATAGAAGAATTTCCATAATTTTATGTCCGTAGTTGACAATGCAGAATAGGAGGGATTTTTTGTGTTTGTTTATGAATGATAGTTAAATTCTGCAGTGTTGGTTTTGGAGTTATTCCGAATTACATGATGTACTAAGGTAGAATTGGCGAAGTTACTATTACCGCACACACTTAGAAAAAAAAAATACCCGCTAAATATTAATTTAATTGTGGTTTTAAAAGTACATGTAACAATAAAACACATCAATATTACAAAACAAAACCAATGCATTTATTCGGGGAAAAGAGCAAGCAGAATTGCGGCTCGCTCTGCGAGACCTTCACTAAAACACGTCTAATAAATTCTGTATTTTAAATACACCTGATTTACCCGGACGAGAAGGCACTAACTAACATATAATAATTTCATAATAAAATAAAATACGCAAATTAGATCCTCGAGACTCGGAAATCACACCTTCACTAAAGCGCGCGTCTAACAAATTCTGTATTTTAAATACACCTGATTTTACCCGAACGAAAAGGCATTAACTAACATGTAATGATTATATTTCTAACATAGAAACATAAAAATGATAAAATACAAAACGCAAACTAGTTCTTGGACACTTTGGAATCGCTTACTGCAGATCCCACTGTCATAGTTAATAATACTTTAATCAAGATGTGTCATCAAAGTCTCATATAACAGAAAATGCTGTTTTTTAATAAGAAAACAAAAATAGAATTCCATTTTTTCAACAAATATGTCCACCTCCTCTAACATAAATTCACTAAGGCTATTTAAAAAAAAACTATCAACAGAAAACCATGAAAAGGTTCATTTTTTTCTGGATAATACTGATTAAATATAAAAAGAAACATAAGAATAAACTTACCCAACGCAGCAGGCAAAATAGACGCTAGAAAGGATATTAATATCAATCTGTTCATGTTTATTGTTGTTAGAGGTAGGTCTATCCGGGTTAGAAATATATATATATATATATAGGGAGGTGTTGTCTTACCCCACGAACGATAAGAGGGTGGAGCACGTGATCACAGTTACAGACGTGCCCGGATGTGTTTTGTTATCGTCGGTACATAACACGTATTTATGTCTACGTAACTAAAATTTCGCAAATATACGTATGACTTTGCTATCACATGGAAAATTTTGATAAAAGTGCTGAAATATTTATTCACTTTATATTGTGCGTTCGGTTTAACACATGTAGTATCGTATAATGCCTACGCAACTAAAATTTCGCAATCAAATGTATGACGTCGCTATCAAACGGAAAATTTTGATAAAAGTGCTAACATTTCTATTCACTATATTTCGTGCGTTACTTCAATATTTCAACATATCAATATGAAATATTGAAATATTCCTTCTGAAGGAATATCCCGGGCAAAGTTGTAGATCCAGAGGTGGTTTTTTTGGGCTTCATGACCCCCCCCCCCCCCTGATAATTTTCTTTAAAAATAATGTATTTTCACCATTTTCCTCAATTTTCACCCACATGGAAACCCCCTGGAAATTTGAAAACACCCAAGGTAGGTCTCTGGATCCGCCACTGTGACATTTATATTATAAAATAATTATTGGACAATGCAAACGACCAATTGTATTATATTATATCTGAATGTTAGTTCTGTAAATAAAGAACTATACATCATTTACTGTACGTGTCTTAATTAATCACACAATGCACTGTGTTATCCAGTTAATATACCCATGCCATATGTCCCATGCAATATGACCTATCATCCCTGTGATTGGTTGTAATTTTCAATTGTTTCAATTGTGAGGTCACGTCTAGGACAAGTACGTGACGTCACAGACTTTCGCACTGGAGTCAAAATGGCGGCTTTTTACATTTCAAAGTTGCATGAAAATTGTCATAATACACGAATAAATGCCATAAATCTTGAATATGTGATAAACAGGATCTTACACTCGTTTTCATTTCATATGAAATTCATGAATCTCGTCACGATTTTTTCACTTTAGCTCGCCAAACTGAAAAATTCTTAGACTCGTTTCATAAATCTCATATGAAATGGAAACTCATGTAAGATTCTATATATAGACACTTGTATCTTAAATCCTCGTACGAAAATGCTCTAATCTCAAGTCTTCCTCTTATTACATAACGTATCATCGTGATTGCTTACTTAAGCTAGCCAGCGCTCGAGACAAAGGAGCATGTATGTACTGACAGCGGACACGCAACTTGTTACTTACCTGTAATATTGTTACCTGCATATTCTTGAGTACAGAACTACACTGACGTCATCTTGGAACTCTCCCGATCTGTTCACCGTCCTACGTCATGAAAGTGCAAACATTATACGTATTGGAACTGATAACATATTCGAGTTCTCTTAATTTATTACACTTGTCAAAAACTAACAGAACAATCTCGGTTATGCGGGTATGTGACATTCCTTGAAAACGTAACATGGAATGACATAATACACATCTTAATGGGTTCTTTTACTGAAAAAGAGCATACCTAGCTATAAAGTTCCCAGAAAACAATAGTTAATCAAAGGCTGAATGTAAACAATACATTTTAACATATTGAAGGCTGTGTTGTTAGATATACAGAAGATATGTTTGTCTGAAGACTTAAATTTATTGTCAGACAGAAACGAGTGAAAAGAACATCGTTTGTGTGTTGATTTACCTACAATTCTAAAATGTGGAAACTCGTTGAAAATTCGTGTTTTTCGGAAACAGAAAACAGTGAAATAAATATTATTTACTATTTATTATATACTTAAAACTTTGACAAGCCATCGAAAAATATGTTATTTAAAGAGAATACTGCAACATGTTCCGAGCACTTCTTTATTGTGTACCTAGGGAATGGAAGCTTGAAAGAAGCTTAGGGATGCTCCACATGGCCATGCAAGTTTTACATGTCCTTTTTGCAATTCACCATGGACCTGTATTTACTATTTAGATCTGTCACTCGCTTACGAATAAACTCTTTTTTAGATTCTCTGAAGGAATCTGGGCTATCGTGACCCCGACGTTGTATGTATGCTGCCGTACGTCAGCATGTCAGAGTCTGGGTGGATGTTGACTTCACTATCAGTTACGTCCCTGGTCACCTGTCTTCATTCCACCCTACTGTAGATATATTACGACCTGCTACATATATGTGTACACCAAGCATACGAAGCAGTGTCCCTATCGCAAATATATTATCTCGTTGATAATAACCATAGTTTTGCCTTATTTTTTTTATGAAGAAATAGCTTTATTTCCACCTATGTGACATGCGGCTTCTGGAGTTCCTAACATCCATCCCAGCATTATTCTGAATTAAATGTTCTGCAAAAATTGGAACGCCCTAATTTAGGTGTTTACACTAGAAAGTGAATGATTTTAATCGTTTGTTGTAATTCCTTTTGTGTCGCTTTTCAAAATGCAAAATTTCTGTAATAGCACTTTCGCGAAAAGGCGTTGGACAAAACAGTGTGACATTCGTGACCACAGCGTTAGCTTTGCTGTCAACAGAGCAGCTAATCTCCTTATCAAAAGCCACGAGAAGGTCACTGTACCCGAGAAGGTTACTGTACCCGAGAAGGTTACTGTCCCCGAGAAGGTTACTGTACCCGAGAAGGTTACTGTCCCCGAGAAGATTACTGTACCCGAGAAGGTTACTGTACTCGAGAAGGTTACTGTACCCGAGAAGGTTACTGTACCCGAGAAGGTTATTGTACCCGAGAAGGTTACTGTACCCGAGAAGGTTACTGTCCCCGAGCAGGTTACTGTACCCGAGAAGGTTACTGTACCCGAGAAAATTACTGTCCCCGAGAAGATTACTGTACCCGAGAAGGTTATTGTACCCGAGAAGGTTATTGTACCCGAGAAGGTTACTGTACCGGAGAAGGTTACTGTCCCCGAGAAGGTTACTGTACCCGAGAAGGTTACCGTACCCGAGAAGATTACTGTATCCGAGAAGATTACTGTACCCGGGAAGATTACTGTACCCGAGAAGGTTATTGTACCCGAGAAAATTACTGTACCCGAGAAGATTACTGTACCCGAGAAGGTTACTGTACTCGAGAAGGTTATTGTACCCGAGAAGGTTACTGTACCGGAGAAGGTTACTGGCCCCGAGAAGGTTACTGTACCCGAGAAGGTTACTGTGCCCGAGAAGGTTACTACCCGAAAAGGTTATTGTACCCGAGAAGGTTGTTGTACCCGAGAAGGTTACTGTCCCCGAGAATGTTACTACCCGAGAAGGTTATTGTGCCCGAGAAGGTTACTGTGCCCGAGAAGGTTACTGTCCCCGAGAAGGTTACTGTCCCCGAGAAGGTTATTGTACCCGAGAAGATTACTGTACCCGAGAAGGTTACTGTACTCGAGAAGGTTATTGTACCCGAGAAGGTTACTGTACCGGAGAAGGTTACTGTCCCCGAGAAGGTTACTGTCCCGGAGAAGGTTACTGTCCCCGAGAAGGTTACTGTCCCCGAGAAGGTTATTGTACCCGAGAAGGTTACTACCCGAGAAGGTTACTACCCGAGAAGGTTACTGTACCCGAGAATGTTACTACCCGAGAAGGTTATTGTGCCCGAGAAGGTTACTGTGCCCGAGAAGGTTACTACCCGAAAAGGTTATTGTACCCGAGAAGGTTGTTGTACCCGAGAAGGTTACTGTACCCGAGAATGTTACTACCCGAGAAGGTTACTGTACCCGAGAATGTTACTACCCGAGAAGGTTATTGTACCCGAGAAGGTTACTGTACCCGAGAAGGTTATTGTACCCGAGAAGGTTATTGTACCCGAGAAGATTACTGTACCCGAGAAGGTTACTGTACCCGAGAAGGTTACTGTACCCGAGAAGGTTACTGTACCCGAGAAGGTTACTACCCGAGAAGGTTACTGTCCCCGAGAAGGTTATTGTACCCGAGAAGGTTATTGTACCCGAAAATGTTACTGTACCCGAGAAGGTTACTGTACCCGAGAAGGTTACTACCCGAGAAGGTTACTATACCCGAGAAGGTTATTGTACCCGCGAAGGTTATTGTACTCGAGAAGGTTACTCTACCCGAGAAGGTTACTGTACCTGAGAAGGTTACTACCCGAGAAGTTTACTGTACCTGAGAAGGTTACTACCCGAGAAGTTTAGTGTACCCGAGAAGGTTACTGTACCTGAGAAGGTTACTACCCGAGAAGTTTACTGTCCCCGAGAAGGTTACTAACCGAGAAGTTTACTGTACCCGCGAAGGTTACTGTACCCGAGAAGAATGTTATTTTACCCGAGCAGGGTACGGTGCCCGAGAAGGGTACTGTCCCCGAGAAGGTTACTACCCGAAAAGGCTACTGTACCCGAGAAGGTTAGTGTACCCGAGAAGGATACTACCCGAGAAGGTTACTGTACCTGAGAAGGTTACTACCCGAGAAAGTTATTGTACCCGAAAAGGTTATTGTACCCGAGAAGATGATTGTACCCGAGAAGGTTACTACCCGAGAAGTTTACTGTACCCCAGAAGGTTATTGTACACGAGAAGGTTACTACCCGAGAAGTTTACTGTACCCCAGAAGGTTATTGTACACGAGAAGGTTACTACCCGAGAAAGTTATTGTACCCGAAAAGGTTATTGTACCCGAGAAGGATATTGTACCCGAGAAGGTTACTTTACCCGAGAATGTTACTACCCGAGAAGGTTATTGTACACGAGAAGGTTACTACCCGAGAAAGTTATTGTACCCGAAAAGGTTATTGTACCCGAGAAGGTTTCTGTTCCCGAGAAGGTTACTACCCGAGAAGGTCCCGAGAAGGTTATTGTACCCGAAAATGTTACTGTACCCGAGAAGGATACTGTACCCGAGAAGGTTATCCGAGAAGGTTATTGTACCCGAAAATGTTACCGTACCCGAGAAGGTTACTGTAACCGAGAAGGTTACTACCCGAGAAGGTTTCTGTACCCGAGAAGGTTACTGAACCCGAGAAGGTTATTGTACCCGCGAAGGTT